CGAAAAAACGWTAACATATTAGTGATTATTTTGTAGTAATGGATGATTATCAATAATAAACTAGTAATAATAATTAGACGTTCATTATCAAATGGAAAATGCATATATTTTTACCTGAATTAATCCGGTTTGTGCTGTAAGACTTTCCTGCACTTGTAAATCGTACGCACCTGCGTGAAATAAAAAAAYKWYGTCTTTTCTTTTAGATTCTTGTACRCCGGATTTSAAATTCTGTACGCTTCCCATAWGAGGAAWGCAAAAACTATACYGGAAATACSACATYTTGCCTCCGGTTTAAAGATTTCCCAAATCATCCACTAAGAAGTACAGAGGATYTGGATCCGAGAATCTACGTACCCAAAGCTTTACCCCAGGCCTCCTCATGTTCATAAGTTCTTATCCTAGAATCCATGTCCGCAAGGCGTCCCGCGCCTGCGCCGTATACACTATCAGGCTCTCCAATACAGCTGTAGATCTCTAGCAGAAGAGACTGRAAATTAGTCCCCACTCCACTGTCTGTGCTTTGGGTGTGCTCGTCCACTTCCATTCCTTGACTGTGAGCGGGTAGAGTGATGTTGACGGGCGAGTCCGAGAGCGTTCTATGGAATTTAAGCACGGATTAATTACGAACAAAAGAACTGAAGGCGAACTTCGGCCATATATCGAGTAAATCGGATAATTATTATAGTTATCAGTTATTTACCGTTGGATATCGCTCCATATCTCAGCGTACAATAAGGCTGTAAAGTGTGCAGAACATGCCTGGGCTGCCTGTGCCACATCAAGGTAGTCAAGCTGCAACCAGAAGTTATTGTCCCAAGGGGTACTCTCACCACGTCCTCGCTTGGCTCGTGGTTGTGATCGAAGATAATTCACGACGTTTAACATGGACCTGATGCTCTGTTTACTCACTGAAATGAAAACTCGACTTTAAGGTAAAATAAAGGTGCACGTGCTACCGAGAGCCTTTGCGGTCGTTTTTCCTTTGTTAAAAAGAGATATACGGTTGAAATTTGATCTCTGATTGGTTTAAAATCGAGCACTGGTTCTCGGGTCTTAAAAAAAACTTACATTTTAAGGACCACACATCCTTCATTTTGATTGTTCAACACTGGGAAAGTGGATTAATTTATAAAGTCTGTAAATTTACTGTAAATTATTCAATGTGCAGACAAAATTTCATTTTACAAAGTTTGTAAATTTCTATGTACATTCTGTAAATATCTTGTAAATCTTGTTCTATCAAATATTGTAAATTTCTTGTAAAATCATTTGCAAAGTTTGTAAAAGGACAAAATTACAAATTTTATTGAATTTACAGTATATTAACATATTATTTACAAACTCTGTGAACTAATCAACTTTTCCAGTGCAATTTACTAAACAAAGTTCAAACCTTGGTGCGATGGTTCTCCTTCCACGACTGACAGAGGTGAACTGGGACGACTTGAAAGAGAATTTCTACCGATACAATGATGAAAGAAACCCTGAATTTGCTCAGAAAGAACATCTCGATGGTGATCGTCACCAGTGTCAAGAATATTGTGAATCAGATATGGGAAGATATGATCTGCAAACTCGGCCTGTGAAAAAAGAATAAGACTTTATCTTTACTGAGGAAACATCCCAACCATATGAATATTTGCACTAAAGGCATTATAGTAGAAGTCGTGAGAATAACAAAACACTACCTACCTTAGCCTTGCAAACAGGAGAAAGAAGTACAAGAATATCGTCCTGTACTCCACCACTCTCAATCAAGGCACGTGTCAAGCACGTGACCCATGACTCATGATTCGTGTTCTCATTGGTTGATCCAGGTATCCATAGAGACGGTTTACCAATCAACGTCCTGAAGTCTTCTTCGTGTGATATAAAAGGAGCTCCACTAGTATTTGTCTGAAAGGGGAAAAGTGAACGAGTTCGTCTTTCAAAAGTGTTATATTCCTTTGGGGCTGATCTCGACCTTTAAACCGGCACGTAATCCAGTTGTATTTACGATTTTTCATCAATGGGGAATGAGTTGACTTTAAATATCCATTCGCAATCCGTTTCCATCCGTTGGTTTAATGGTCGAATCTTACAACATCTCCATTCGTATAGCATAAAGAGATCACAAAGAGTAGGTTTTTGCTTATATTACGATATCTTCTTATCTTCTAACCCAACTATCATCTAATTTAGATACCTTTTTCTTTCTTGACGGTTTAAATGGTTCTAGATACCACAAGAGTCTCTCCGCTTTGCAGCCTTCATACTTCTTTAGTAAACCAACACCAGACGTTGTACCAAGAACTTGTTTTAGACACAGTGAGGCTGCTGCAACAACCTCAACACTAAACAAAGATTCCTTGGTTAGAAAATTTGAAGGGTATTTTCCTCAAATGACGTCATGTTTGTTGTACCGAAGTGCATCATGGTATTGATGAAAGTATCAAGATGGCGGCTGTCTTGTAAATCTACAGGGCCGAGTGGTTCAAAGCTCGATTAGCGCTAATCCTGGGTTAAATCTTTAAAAACCTACGGATTAACTCTAGTCGGGCTTTGAATAACCCGTCTCAGAGTAGTAAGTTTCTATTTATTTATTTACCAAGTGCAGCCTGCCCCTCATAAACGAGGATTATTGGCTTTGCGAAACTAACGATATTGAAATCCGAAAATACTTCTGAAGAGCAGCAAATGAGATTCCTACACACCAGCGTATGTTAAAAGACCTGTCTTAGAAATAACTAATGCTTGCTGTTCGCAAAACAGCCTGAAACACCGCAAACACGATCGAAAAACAACATTATGGCTCAGAAAACAAGACGTAGACAATCATGGAAAATATTTTCGTTACCTTTTGTCGGACATATATTGATTTAGAAGTCCCACGATGTTAGAGTTACGTTGGGTGATAGTGTCTGCTTTGAAYGTTTCCGGGGGAGGCATGACAAGRTCTGAAAGATACAAACGAATCTAATAATAAACAAAATCATAAAAGAAAACAATGAAAAACAAACTGACAACAGCAAATTATCAAAAGAGATGGTTCAGACATTCTCTGGTTGCATGGGGATTGGAGGGAGGTGATTGTTAGACATATTAACATTGAGCCTGTGAAGAGAGTTTTTCAGCCTAACCCCCCCAGATAATTTCCAACGAGCCTCGAACCAAACCTAACATAATCACCTTTTCTTTGTCTCCCACTCAGGGCCACTGTAGACAGGTCCACAGCCCCAATCTCCCCAAGACAGTTGGCAATCTCGACCTTAACGTCTTGGGCAGTACTGGTACCAAGTGAGTTTAAGGAGGACGACATATGTAGTAATTCATGGACGAGATCTGGGACAGAATCTTAAAAAAAATTATAGTTAATTATATTTTCCATATATGAAAAAATCTAGCACACGACCGCACTGAATGCTGGAGGACCTTGGCCCCTTAAAACCCTCAATAGCAGAGGCCTATAATGACCTCATAGCTTGCGCATTGCATGTTAGATACCTTTACTATCTTCTAAAAGACAATGCAGTTGATGTTTATTGTCCATGAGTCTTTGTTTCAAATGCTTCAATCCTTCAACACGACTTAGAGGGGGAGTGGTGACTGATACAAAGTGAGTTATTTCCTAAAAAGGATAAAACCAATTGATATAATAATTAAAACAAGACTATTTTATCACAGGAAAAACCGCTGCATCGCGAGAAATCGTTGAGATTTGGGTTTTTCTGTGAGTTAGGGGCGGAGCTTACAACAAATCAACCAATAACAGAACGACTATACGAAAATCTCCGCCCCTAAGATCGCAGGAAGGAACGCAATCTAAACAAACACCAAAACGAAGAAATCGCGATGCAAAGATTTTCGCTGCAATTATGACTTTCGAATTCAATGAAGACATTTCACTTTATTTATTACTTGCAAAAGGGAAGTCCTTGACATTCTCATGACAGATTTGTGTACGTCGCTAATCTCYTGAAACTGAGGAAGATCAGGGAAGGGATCCAGCTGTGCAATGGAGTCTCTCAAGGCATGCTTGCTGTCGATGATTAGAAATGACAGTAGTCCAAGAGCCTGCACAAGAAAAACAGATCCAGAATGTTTAGCACTCGTGGCATGAATACAAAGATCTGAAATACGTATCCAGGTGCGGACCCAGCTGCTGGGTGCAGTAGGGGTGCACCCCCCTGAGATCTGTATCCTTCAATACTTTCCTTATTTTGTATCTTCATGGTAATGATTTTTGTGGGGTGCAGGAAAACCCTGGATCCGCCCCTGTTTTCGCTCTACACCGTGAAGACAATTTGAGTGCAAACACTAGAACCATGAAAAAATGTAMTAATAGTGCTAACGTGTATTGATTTATGCGAATTCCTTTGTTATCTATTGTCTAATATACACTAAATATTGTCTGGACTCGAACGACCAGCACTTGAGCACACCGAACTTACCTGTTTCGCCGTGTCATCGTGTCTTTTGGCGTAAGGCATTAGTGTACTTATTATAACGTGAAGGTGATTGTTTAGTTCCTGAAACGTTTCAAACACACAAACAACACATTAAGACAGAATTAAAAAAGTACTTTGAATCTAAATCTTAAGTTGGATTACAATGGTTTGGTTTAAAAAATGATGCACTCCTAGATCAGATTTTGATCGGAGCTCGAAAAATTGGGTAGGTCTTCAACTCTCTCGAAACGAATTCTCTGATTGGCTGCGTCGTCTGTCTTTACATTTGTAAAATGACCACGTTGTGCTTTAATTTCCAATTTCACTTACTCCACTACAGTGCTCTACAGCTGATTGACACACGTGGTACAGAAGATTGCAGGCTGGTGTAAACATATCCGAGTCCATCACCAGACCTGTACAAAGCTGACGGGGATCCGTGTATTCGTCTTCTGCAGCTGTTATTATTCTCCTGAGAAGACAACAAAAACCACGAATCACCACCTGATGTTTGTCAATGATTAACTCAAAAARAATGTGTAAAACAAAGAAAAGAACCAGCTATATGTTAGGTCCGTTTACAAAAGTGAAAAAGTGGAGRTGGCAAAGGATATGGAAACAGCGAGGGAAGAAGAAATGGAAAGTTTTCATATGGTACTTGACTACATTCATTGCTCCCTCTAATTCTTCCTCTTTTTCACTCCAATCGTTAGCTCTTTTAAATGTTAGGATTTCCTTCCCCATCTTACTGAGTTGCTAAGTGAGAAGCAGCCTTTGAGACCTAAACTGATACTTCTTCGTTTGCAATATACGTCACAGCGGCCATCTTGGTTGAAATTCAACACTAGAGTTTGTTATTAGTATCTATTGTTAATTCAACCAACATGGCCTCCGGTCTTTTATCTTTTGAATCTAACGGGAATGGTTGAAAAAAAAAAACAATTGAACAAGAACTAAAATAAAACAAATGTACAAGCTTAGTTTTTCACATGTAGCTTCTCTGCGTAACTTTTTGCTCTCTTTTTACCTACAATACCTTAACGAATAGATGACGTCTCTGATGAAGAAAGCCCAAGTGTTACCCAGTCCTCCACCGAGTTCTCTTAACATGAGCAGTACAAACARTCTATACATTGACAACACTCGCCGCTTTTCGTGTATCAAATGAGTTTCAAAGATACGTTGGTTCAGCGACAGCAATATTTTTTGGATGTTATCCTGAGAAGAGRAAAAATGTTGAAATTGAATAGGCCTTTTGCATGAAAMGKTCACATGGAACTAAATCCGCCATTCTAGAGGGCAAAATTCCCACTRMGGTGTTCAAAACAAASAAAAGTCWAGCTTGAYGGGCTRCGTYYMTTTTGTTTTTRAGGTTGTTTACATTCTTTTGCCCTCCAGAATGGTGCATTAAGTACCATGTGACCGTTTCATGCGAAAGTCCTATTTTCTCTCTTGGGGCTTCCCAGTAGTCAAATACATGTAGAGAGGGCCCACGATTCTTCCTAACCTTTGTTTTACAAAGTACTCCAACCAGGGAYTCTCCTTTAAAACAGCTTGTCAGATATTCAAGTGAGGCTTTGACAGCTTGCGATGTGAAATATGGAACATTAGGATCTGGATCAGTAGGGCTGTAAACAAAAGAACCACATTATARCAAACGTCCAGATAATTCCAGACCACGACTGTATGTAATAAAGATTTGATTGTCGATAGACCAAAAGCTTCTACGTCATATACCGTACRCAATACATTGTAGGATATGCTTGGGACAGAACATGGAGGATTTCTGCTGCATGTGTAGGTGATTTAAAAGCTTCAGAAGTCTATACTCTGATGTTAAAATGAATTGTACAGAGTACGATTTTCCTAACCTTGAAAAAGTTGCTAAATCAGAGCCTTCATTACTCGGTTCATGCATTCTGTACAGCAAGTGGAGAACAAGCTCATCGAAGTTTGTTGCCATGGTTCTGTCCACAACCTGAGAAGCGTACAATTTTGAAATTATGAGAAAAAGACTAACTGCATAAGGAAAAAATCCTGTAAAACTGGTCAAAATCGCGCTCCGTGAAGGTGTAAATAACATGTAATATTTACATGATTTTGGACACTTACATCATGTTTACACAAATTTACACACAATTTACAACCTTTTTTACATACATTGTAAATATCTTGGAAATGAGATGCGCGATATTTACATCAAAGTTAGTATGTATGCAATTTTAGCGTGTAATTTACTTCAAATTTACAGTATATTTAAACAGATTTGAACATTTACGAGATATTTACAACCTTTGTAAATATTATGGAAATTGAATTTACATCATATTTCAATAAAATTTACAACCTTCCAGTAACGCAATTTTTTTCAGTGATATAAGTTGGTGTAGAGCACCGAACAACGACTTTTAAGTCCATGCCCCCAGTATGCATTCAAATATAAATAGTGGTGATAGTCCTTTTACAACTCTCCATTGAAAAGAAAGAGTAATAAAGCGACAAGACAACTTATTCTCCATTTCATGAAGAAGTGCTACAAAAATAGTCTATGGTCTCCACTATGAACAAAACATGAACAGCCAGCCTTAACAACTGTAGCATCACAACATCTTTGTAGACAACTCTGTAAAACAAAACATTTTGGATCCATAGACGATAAAGAATAAAGCTGAATTTACCTGTGGGGAAAGCAACTGTTTCAGGTATTCGTAGCTTTGGTTTGCTTCAGAACGGCGTCTCTCTGTGTTCATCTTCGAGTCACTATTTTCTTGGCTTTCATCTCCCTCTCTTCTGCTCTGTACTGCAAACCATGGCAASAGACAAGAAACGATACCACAGAAGCTCTGTAAGATGTACTTTGTCACATCCTCAGGGGGTTGTACATGGGCAGAAAATTGCTCCATAGAGGTCTTGATTTTATCAGGTCGAAGGATAATTTGAGGCAAGATGACGTTGAAATGACACCTGAAGAAGATGAAATCACAGAGATTTGGGGAATTTTTAAGGGATCAGCATGCAGAAGGCTTTAAAATACATACTAAATACGCATCACCGCACACTTATTCATGGACATAAAGTGACGACCCGTCCTGTGACTTATAATAAGGCCTGTAGACTTATAGTCCGATAGCCATAAGACCATTACATTTTTCTTTCTAACTGAAAAAAAAAACGCGCACTTTTTACCCTGCAAATGTCATGGAAATATCGTGTAAACAAAATTATATGATATTTACATCTATTTACAGAGTATAGGAGTAAATATCCARCTAATGTTCAAAACTATGTAGATATTCTGTAAATTCGGATTTCCATGAAATTTACAAGGATTTACAGTTTTTACACGAAAAACCATGGAAATATCATGTAAATCAAATTAACAAAAAATTTACATACTTTCTAAAAAAACCTTTAACTGAAATTTAATGTCAATATCATTGTCCAAATCATTTCACTTTTATTATGCTATTACACGATATTTACATGAAATTTACAGAGCCAAAACGCGCGTTATTTTTTCCAGTTTGAAATTTCATTGTTCCATAATTTATACCTTTTTGTTCCCAATTACTTACTTAAAGAAATCCCCGAGTGTCTTAAATCCAAGTATTCTGAAAGGAAAGTCTACAATCTTGAAACCATGATTCAGCCAATTGTCAATGATGAACGGCAGATGAAAACTGATGTAACAAGAGCTTGATGGGAAGCCAAGCTTCTTGGATAACTGTGTAAGAGTCTGCAAAAGAGATTGAAAAAACGAAAACCTGTTTTTCACCTTTCCAGCAAAATGAAAACAACAAAAATAGGGAACTTCAGTTTTGACAACGAGTACGAGTTTGAGTACGAGTACGAGTACGAGTTTTAAAATTGGCCTTAAAAGTGCTATTAATCATGAATTGCATTCCTRTGAATAGATTAAAGCACCAAAGAAATAAAAACACGAAGTGGATTGAAATCCAGTATGGATAACACAATAAAAAGTTGGTTTGAAAACCTGTACTCGTATTCAATCTCGTACTCGTTGTCAAATCTGAAGTTCCCTAAATATCTAGCAAAATAAAACGAAAATTGAACCTTTATAACAAAGTCYTTATCTAAAAGTTGTTCTTTTAAAGCCTGGAAAACAAGTGCTATGGCCTTCTTCTCGCACACTGGACTTGCAATGGTGAGATGTTTTAATGCAGACAGCATCGACACKGAACGGTTGACTMCCTCGTCTTCGCGTGCATCATCACTATCACCATCGTCCTAAATACAGCAAAAAGTATGACTGTGACTATGACTATGATTGCTATTATGATTGCGATTGTGATTGCGATTGCGATTAGAGCGGATTTCGTTTGACTGTGCAACGGCACGGATCACAACACAACCACRGCTTGACACGGAACCTCGCCTTCTAGGATTCCAAATGAAAATACCGCGTTTTTTGCAGTTATACGAAATCCGCTCTATTAATCTCGTTATGACGACATTACTAAATAACATTATACTAATAAAATTACTACATTACGAATTTATAGATAATGAAAGAAAAAATTACTTATACTTAAAGGTCACATACTGGTAAAAGCAATAAGTTTGCTAGCACTTTAGCAACTTGGTCAAACGTCCGGTACTGCAGGGTTTTTGGTGCTGGGACTTTTTCACCAGTTGTCAAAGTTACCATAAATAGACTTCCAAGCGCATGCCCAGCATACAAGCGCACTGCATGGCTTTCGTCAAGAAGAAATCTTGGGAATTCTTTCCTCAGAGAGAACGTTGATGCTTCTGAAATAACACAATATCSTTTGGGCAATTCTTAAACAAGCACTGGAAGGTAAACTTGTCGCATCATGCGAATATAATCGAAATGGACTGTCAATTTAAAATACTCAGAGAACGTCTGTTTCAGTAGCACTTAAGCTATTCTCATACCATGGAGTTAGCTTGGTGCTTGAAAAAAAGGATGTGTGCAATGTTGAATTATGTGACAACACCGTACAAATCTCTGAGAGTGCATAAAAACATTATCTGTACCTCTGTTGTCATTGTTTCTTTGCTCAACGCAAGTCCAAAGTTCTTCTGGATCAACCTGGAAAGAAATTTAGTAGTCCAAAGGCGTGATTTGTTTTTTTCATCATAAAATCAAAACTCGTGCTACCATGGAACAGTTATTATATTGCGGTTATGAACACCACAACTGACAAAATCAAATTCGAGATTAGCTGAACATAATWTCAGAACTAATACCTTAAGATAGGCCTCCATACACTTTAAAAGAGCAAACCTAACTCCAGCTGAATAGTTTTCCTTKAGTTTCCTAAGCAAGARGGAATTCAAGRRAGAATTTTATCAAARCAAAATTTAATCTTCAAAAGTCCTTGAATSCACTCTCACCAAAACGCCCTTATCATGTGAGTCGCCATAGATTTGGTTCCTTCWTCAGCCTCCTTAAATTTTGGTGCCAATTTTTCCARTAGCTGTAGAGCTTGATGACACACTTGAGGGTCTTTCCGATGAGCTCCCATTACTTGTCTTTGAAGAAAARCAAGAACGCTGTTAGTAACACAACTTAATGTGCTCCTAACCTTTTCCAAGGGGCCAAAAGAATGACATGCTACTTTGAGCTSATGTCGACTTAAATAAAAAACTATTTCAAACCATTGGGACACTTACAGAAATGTCTTCATTGATTTGGTATGCAATTTTATTCGGAATACGTTTATTATACAAAGGAATTATGATAAAAATAAGTTGAAAAAAGAATGGTCTCCAAGATAATGATATGCACTTCGCTTGCATGAAATGCAGTCGTTACTTATAAACGGCGAATGTTGAAATGACAGCAAAATAAAACGAAGGCACTGTCAAACATGCCCAAGGGTAATTAAGAGAAGAGTTTAAATGAATCAAACCCAAACCTGAACACATTCATAATAAGATCAAGATCACTGCTACTCAAAGCCGATTTATCTTTTCCAAGATCTTGTGTGACTGTAAAATACTGCATAAGAAAAAGATGAGCTAATTAGGTACAAAATCTGATATCATTAAAATCAATTAGCCTGCCCCTACTGGMCAGGAAAAGTCTCCATTGCTTATTATACACAATTTCCAGGAAAGTAAAAGTAGTGTTATTGTTACCATTTGTAAATCCGTTTCTCTCTTAACATCAAATTCCTAAAACAAGTAGATATTGTATTCAGTCAATGATACATAATACTTCGAGAATAAGTCAAAATAAAAGTGCCYTATCTCAAAAATAAAGACTSATGAACCATTAACTGTTTACGAACCACTGCTTGGAAAAGCTCCATGATGKTATCCCTGATTGGCATCACAGCACTACCTTCTTCCAGAGAACTTAGCGTGCATAGCAGCTTACAAACAGACTGACGGAGGTATATGTATGCTAAAACAAACATTGTCATATCATTATCCAGTTTGAAATGATTGTTTGGAGATCAATGAGAAATATCAAGCTGAGATTTGAGCTGGTCAGGTCCACAATAATTGGGTAATCCTGCAGWGCTGATGCCCATCATTTAATGAAAAAAGCAAATATTAAATCAATTTAAGACCCAGCTCTCCAGACTCGACGAGCGACTCAACGCGGTCTCCTGTTCTCCTTCTATTCCACCTTCTGAACCTCATTTGGCCACTACCTGCGGCAAATAATCATTTCTTTAAAGTTACCCTTYTTGTTTACATACCATTTCTAGGAGTTACATGTAACTGGGWTGATTGCATGGCTGGTGTATTCAATGATGATTCGRCATCACMTGATGACACTTCCATATCAAAGTCRTCATCATCATCATCTGGGGACATCAATCCACTTGTCTGGTTCAATATGCTGCTGTCCRTCATGTCAAGTCTTGTAATGCCCAATAGAGATTGACCCCACTAAGTAAATTATCAATGGAATGGAATAAGATAAGGAGCAAATGAAAAACAAACTACATGTAGGAAATGTGAAGAAAAGAATTTGAAAGAAAGAGACAAAAAATGGGAACAAAGAAAGGGGAGGGAGGAAGGAAGTAGGTAATAAATAAAAGAGGGAAGGAATGAATACAAAGAGAAAGGAAAGAAAAAAAAGGAAGGAGGGAAGGGCACGAGATTGGGAGGAAGGAAGGAACTAAGGAATGAAAGACAGACATCTGCTAAGTGGAAGAGAGACAAAAAAGAGATGAGCGAACAAAGGTAGCAAGCAAAGAACCAATGGAAACAAACTGCAACAGAACCAAACCACCTTTCCATGATATATCTGTAGTATGTAGTCCAGYAGTTGAATTGGTATCATTTTCTTGATGACAGGTAGGATGACTTTGGAACTTGCCTGCAATAAAGCACCCACAAGAGTCATTTGTATACAAGCACGCCTTTTCCTTTTGTCCCTGCTTTCCTCATTCTCCCCATATTTTTTCTTTCTTATCATTTTTTTTTCTAGTAATTCTTCTTTTTTTCCTTCGTTTCTCCCTTCCTTTCCTTTCCTTCCTTCTTTCCCTCACTCTTTCCTTCCTTGCACTGCTTTGTAAGAAACAAATTATAGTACTAGTAAAAGATAGTACCATCAATGGTGAAAACATCCCTTGCAGCTCTTCAATAACATCTTTCAGCARATCAATCTTGGAGTTGATTTCTGACTCATTTGAAAAAATCCTGTCTGTGAATGYATGCTCTATTCTTTTGAATAATATCTAAAAGTAGGTGATTTAGGGTCAGTGTGAGCAGATACACTAAATGGCTGAATGGATAGCAAACAACTTTTGGAATTATTCTTACSCCAATTTTCTTCATWACAGCAAGACTTCTTAACTCAGTCAGTTTAACAGTACAATTCTCCAAAAGCTGAGTGACAACATGGCTGACAAGTCGACAATAGCGTGCAAARCTTTGCAAACACCTCCCRAGATGATCCAAACGTTCTTTGGAAGAGGAACCAGAGTTCTAAACAAAGAAACATTCAATGTGACTTAAACTCAAGACTGGCTGTATGAATGGAGAATACAATGTAGAGTCATCCACTGATTGAARTTATTCTCTCCATTGATTTTGTATGGCACAAATTTTATCTTCTAGATAACAATTTGTCTGGTAGATAATGCTATCCACTCCTCATACAACTGGCCAAAAGGAAAACAATGCTTGCTATTGTCAAGAACAAAAGTCAGGAAAACAATTCCATAAACATGGCAGACAGGTACAGTACTGAGCCATGTATTTTATCTACTAATCTAACAGACATTTACCTCTGAATCAAAGAACTCTGWTATGTGSTCTGCAAGCAAAGCAAGTCTTTCTAGAAACAATGTCTTGAGTACTTGCACAGTATTATTGCTGCTGTTCAAACATRAGCTGTTGTTGCTGCWKTGYTKTGGTTCTTGCTYCAGRTAGTGAGCATCAATTTTGTCCTTTGGAATAAAAAAATATTCCACATATCAAAACTACTGTATACTCTACAATGTATGATTCAATTCTCTCTTGCAGAAACTTACTTCATCAAAAGAAGATTCAAGGTAAAGCCTCTCTAATTTGTAGAATTCTTCATTGAATGGATAACCATGGTAAGGCAGTAATGAGCTGCGCAGTATAAAAAATGCAATTACAGTGTACTCAGTCATCTTATTATAAACTTATGACAATTTAACTTAAGATAAATAGAAAATTATGTTATAGTCATAATTATAAAGATTTAGTTCTGGAACTTTATGTTGAATATTCTAGCAAATAAATCAAAAACATGATAAATGCAAATGACTCAAGTTTTGTTGTTGTCTCTATACCTTTATAACTGAACAATGCTATGAATTGACTGTATGTATAGAATTTGGTACATCTACAAAGTTACTAACTCTAACTCAGCCAATCAGAACCAGCATTACTGTATACATGTACATGTAACCAAGGCAACAAGGAAAGTCTGCCACAGCCCTACTCCCCCATGAAGTTAATTCTACTCACTTTACTGTTGGATTTTCAGTAAATGAAGATGAAGTTAAAGTCCTAAGACACAAGGAGCTTAAAACCTCTGCTATAAGTCTTGTACTAATTGCTCGTGTTGCTGATTGACAGGTCAGGACTGTAAGTAGCCCTTTGTTGGGTTCGCCTACATCAGGTACTGGTAGCATCCAGTCAAGGAGATGTCGCCTAAAGGGGTAGGAGCCTCGTTCTGAAGATGAGGCTAGGATAAGTGGTTTTATTGGGTGGTAGTTTTCTGGCAGAGGGTAATACTGCATGTAGACAGACAGAAACTCAAGAGAGCTCCTGAAAATAAAGACAGTAAACATAAAAAGGTGAGTAACCTGATGAATAAAAAGTACATTTTAATTAATGAACATGACTATAATTAATAATATAATAAAAAATGAATAAACAAATGAATGTACAGAAATAGGAGATGAAAAATACCATTCAGCAAATCACAATCATATGGAAAAAAATAGTTATACATGAATGAATAAGCAAGCTGATGAAAAAACATTAACAGAGAAACAACAAACCTTGATGGAGGTGAAGCCAGCAAAACTTTCCAAACATCTAAATCTGGTTCAACAAGTTTTTTCTAAAAAAATACAAGCTATTGGTTTGCCTGCAGCTTGATATTGAGATTTATCATATAATTATCTATGAAATACTTATATTTCTCCATTACGTAAAATTGATATTTTCACTAGTGAAAATAACACATTCGAGGTTTCTCTATATATTCGAAGAAAGAAAAAAGGTATTTTAAGACATAACTTGCTTTCATATTTAATTATATGATAAACAGAATATTACATGGTCGCTTGGAGATACAAATTTTATCTTCTCGCTACACTCACTCGTGAGAGATCTTTTCAACACTCGAAGATAAAATCTGTATCTCCGCGCGCCCATGTAATATCCTCTATGTATATCCCAGGCCAGTTGATGATACATATATATCTCACAAGAAATGACAGTAAATTATAATTTACCATTATCAGTATTGTCATTAATGAGAATCCCTCTTCCTTGTGGTGTTTAATGCTAAGTGTCTTGAGTAAGGAGGTCCAAACTTTCTTCCAAAAAAACTGGATGGTATCATCAATGTCTTTGTTGAGTTTTGCCTTTCG